ATGCAGGCAAATGTATTAATAAAATAAATGTATTTATTTTAGAAGTATCAGAATAAAATTTTTATCTAATCCCAGGCCTTGGTTCTATTCCTTCTGGAACGGATATAGGGGAATGAGGTGAGCGAATATTAGTGGTAGGTTCCAACAAACATCAAAAGCTTTATATATAACGGTCGCGCTACTTGGGTATATATATATATATATAGTTATATAGCTATATATATACATATATATAGCTATATAACTATAGCTACCCACTTGCGGGTATATGTAGTATTTGGAATAGTATTCAAAATGGGATTCGAGAATTCGCGCAATAACAATCCCCGAAATAAAACAACTTCATCGGGCTTTGAACGGGTCAACCACCAAATCTCAAAACGTTCAAAATAATCCTCGATATCGTGTGCACTGCAGTTAAGATCAAGAAATTCTAAGGGAGTAGAATTCATTGTTCAGTAGACCGGCCGCGACGCCAAATGTAGTATTTGGAGTAGTATTCAAAATGGGATTTCAGAATTCGCGCAATATCAATCCCCGAAATAGAACAACTTCGAATGAAATAGCACAAGAAATTTATTCGAATCGTATACTATGCATATTCAATGCATTTAAAGTGTACAATGAATTTCGAGGTCAGTGTCACACATCACAGTATATCTAGGTATACCTATAGTCATAGGTACCAAAGCAGCACGAGTATACCGCTGAGTGACACCTGAGTGTCCTCCAGATCTGGAGGGGCCTTGAGGCCCCTGAATGTCCCCCTGAGTGTACAGCTGCGAGGCCCAATGCAAAGATTACGGTATGATTAGGGGACGCTCAAATAAGTTTTTAAATAGCGCATTTTTTTTACCCATTACGAATAGAAACCCGATAACTACCCTTAAGCTAATTGTTCTCGAACCTCCCTCCTCGTTTACTTCTTAATACATATAAATCACTATGTATCAATGAATACGCGTATATCTTAGGGTTTCGATTCGCAACGTCCATAATATCCTTCACTGTCGCTTAATATCAATGTGTAAACCATTCATCTATGTTTTATGTCAAAAATTTAAACAACCGGCAAGGCTGACTTCTAAATTTAACGTCGTCAACTATCACAGTAAAGGCGCCCAAAGGTCTTATATAAATAACACACCGTACTGGAAATATTAAAAGATTTATTTTATAATGAGATCAAGGCGATATATCTAACGAGTCCTATTCTTCAGGGTCTTCATTCTTCTTATCGCCATCTGAAAGAGAAAAGGAATGAGATTTAGAATTTCACTTGATTTATTAAAAGATAAATGGTATTAGAAATTAAAAATAAAAATATGTTGCGCGTAAACCTACCAGTGAAAGGTGGTAAAAAATACGTGACGTCCAAACGTTCATGAGCACCCCGAGGTCTCGTTTTCAGTATACAACGTTGAATTTTCCCAATTAAGGAAATGGTATCTGTATTTGGAAAGCCATTCTGGAGAACAGAATCTGTAATTTAAATTTATTTCACAGTTTATTTCTAACGTACCAATTATCAACTGGCATAGCTTACTATTAGCCAACCTTCCGTTGACCCATTGCCAGGTGACGTGGATGAGCATTGAATCCGCAAAGATTGTTTTCGAGATTGCTCGAGTGCAAACNAGTGCAAACTCCAGCGGATTACCCACCAATTTTTGGAATTATATTTTTTTGTAATAGAATCGTCATATAATTATTAGGATACTCACCATGTTGTTATAAACTTCTTTATTTTTCAGGTTATTCATAAGCGCCTTGTGCTCGCTTAAGGTCTTCACTGGTATAACAGTCGAGGTGCCCGATTTGAATATATAGTTCCGAAGAAAGCTCACGTCTTCATTCATCTCACTCATGAAGAATCGTATTTCATGAGGAAAATTTTCCTGCAACTCTACAGAATGCATTTAAGATATCTTAGCGCTTACTATAGTCTCAGTGACCATAGTAACTGAAGACGTTTTATAAAAAGTCTTTAGTACCACGACAAAACATATTTTATTGTGGTACAATGCTGCAAAACCGCAGTAGTTATTGTAGAATTATGCTTATTTGGCTTATTAAATCAATATGCCTGATCGACAGTTACCCCTCGACCCCAGGCAAACATCGCATTAACGTACTGATTACTTAGAAGTAGCATGAAAGCACTCATATTAAAATGTGATTTTAGAAGACTAGAAAGTGAATGTAAAAATGTAATGAAATGAAAAATATACGAAATAACGTTCACTGATGTGTTTCAAGAAAGTTTCTATATCCGTCTCCATTTTTGAGGGTGAAAGTTAAACTAATATTGGTGCAGAACTTCGTTCAAAGTTTCTCACCTCCTGTCCCCAGCAGAGCCGAAAACTGTCTTCAGGATCCTCTTTATTCGGCTCGAGTAGACCTCCGTATCCTTTTATTCTATCATTCAGCACAAAAACCTAAACAGCTTCCGATGGTCTTTGAAGTTCATGTTTAAATTTATTCACAACAGTTTTATGTATTTTCATAATTCCGAACGGACATCAAGCTGTTGATTCTGGCAAAGAGGTGAGAATGAACGCCACATAAATTTCCGGGACAAAATACGCTATAAACTGCACAAGAAGAGAGCGATATTTCCGAATTTTCAAAAATTAGTGAAAATATGAACAAGTTAACGAATTACATATAGCGTTAATACATGCCAATTTTAGATTTTTGTATTATATCTTTCATGCCAAAACTTTTCATGTAAAATTTATTCAACTTGACAACTGGATGGAAAAGTTTCCGTGGGGGGCGACTGTTGATCAGGTCTTCACCGTTGATCAATATATATATATATATATATATATATATATATTTATATGTATATATGGGGCTCATGTGATTGGGATTACACCTTAAAGTATCGCCTATAAATGACTATTATTACTCATGAACACAATTAGATACATATATGCATGAGATTATACGAATGCATTTCATGATACAAGTAACGTTGTATATATATATGTATATATATATATATATATATATATATATATAAAGGTTTATGTATAAATGCCTATAGACTTTATGAATATTTTCATGGAGAAAGAAAAAGAGTTCCCTCTTGAACAGCTGATCTAAGATTGTTTTCGCCGTAGCTGACGTAGACAATATTCCATCATGAAAACCATTTCAATTCAGTTTTGGCCCCAACAACTTGTTGAAAATTTTTCAAGTCAGAACTCTTATAATTTCAGTCGTTGAGTCCCTTACATTGGTCACCAGGTATTAAAACTATAAAGTAAAAGTGTGATTAATCTCTCATTACTGTCGACACGGGAATTATACATCGCACTGCACAAGAAGCAAAGGGTAGTGTGGGTCTCTGTTTTCTCCTGCTCGTGCGACAGAGCAGTGAAGGCCTCTGAGTTAGCCAGTGGCAAACTTGCGCTGACGGGTAAACCTCTCATTCAACACGGGCTCCAACTAAGTTCACATCTTGTTTAACGCCCTTTGGATGGACTATATAAACCGTGGAATGCGTAACGTGTGGTCGGCCATTTTGGGGTATCGAGAAGTGCCTAACAGTTTCGAATAAACTAACCGGTGTATTAGCCAGCTACCCCTGCCTGTTGGATATTTAATAATGAATTTCAAGAGGAGTATTGATAAGGTCAGTGCAATGTGACCTCTATTACTAGTACCATTATTGGAGTACAAAGCATTTTAGCATTAAACATGTTCTTATTTATACAACATTGGCTTAGGATACTTATTGTGCCAACTCTGAACAAAGGAAATTGAAAAGGGGGAGCTAGTTATGAGTATGGAGAATAAAGAAAAAGAGTTTACGATGAATAATAAGATCAAGAGCAGTGTTGTTCTGTAGACGATGCTTTTTTGTTCAATTTTGATTTTAGTGCGAAAAAATCTAAGCATTTTTGTAGGACCTTTTTAACTCTGATGTGATGTCCTTCTTGTAACTTATTTTATCCAGGATGCCAATAGAATCTCGGCCTGCGGAACCGGATACTGATGGAGCTGCCGATCGAGAAGCGGAATACCATCAACTTAAGCTGGCGCTGCATCTTGCTCAAGTGGATCGTGCACATTATGTGGAAGAAATGAATGCTGCCATGATGAAGATGAAGTAAGTTGCAACATTTGAGTCACTGTATTGAAGTTGAACTATGTGCTCTTTAGAATCTCGACGTTTGACAACCGACTTCTTTTACGACTTTATTCAGTGTAGTGTTTTTCGCATTATTGGATCTTAATATGAGCACTTTGGCTAGTTGCTAATCACATCTAAATGATGGATACATACATTTTTCTGTTGACCAACAGGAATCCTGCACAATGCAAGTGTCACTTGACCACGATTTTACTGCCAGCATTCGTTTTTCAAGATAGAGTGAGGAAAATAAAGTTAGTCGAATGAAGTATTCGAAATGATTATTCTCTACTGTTAAGCCGATAATTGTTTTCATGATTTGTGTGGCACTTCCATAATCATATTAGCGGACAAAAATACAGCAGACGAGCTTGTTTTAGTAACTTTATTTTGGAGCATTCAGGTGTATATATTTACATCAAATGGACACTAACGTGATTGATTCATTAAGGTAAATGGCAAAGAATAACATGACCTGTCGTGTTCTACAAGATTACATTGAGAACGTACAGGAACAAAGGTCAATTCTGGAAATTTTCGATGACCACTTATTCACAGGAGACGTATCACGCTATTCCACGTCCTCACGACTTGACTGATGTCAGTTTAGTTAAGTTTGAACAACCATTAACCACGCATGTTCGAGCTCCGGCTTTGGTTGCTGTCTTTTGGCCGCCCATTTGGATGAAGAATAGGAGAAGAAGGAAATGACTGATGTCATGGATCGGTTTGTCCCATAGGTTGATACGTGATCAAGGCAACTAGAGTACGGCTGTCAAATTCATTTATTTGAATAGCGATGGGTTTAGGATTCTGATATCAACTGCTTCTGCCATGGCCAAGTGAAGTTGCCGAACTTGCCTCAACTTGCTTTGAGGCACTTGGTTAATGGCCTTAAATGCAATATTGTTTATCTGGTGTCTGATATCAGAGAGGTGGACCACCTTGGTGAACCGATCACGTTTTTCTCTGTCTTATAAACACACATCTAAATATAAATGCTTAAAGATGAAGCTAAGAACAAGTTTAGTTGCTATATTTTTGTCTTTCAGTAGTTGTTTGTTTGACAAAATTTGTGCTTTTTATTTCAGTCAAGGTACGAAAACTTCAATGAAGCAATAACTTGGCATAGTAAACTTTGGCCTTGAAAAGTTTTCCAGCGTTATTCGGGTGCAGTGACACTGAAATCACTGAGTTTCAGAAATTTCACTTTATTTCTCAACAAGTACAGATGGTTTGATCGATTTTGTTTCAACTTTATTCTTCCAATATCAACAAAGTACAATTGCTGCCAACATAACACAACACACAAATCCAGATATTCCCTAGGTCATAGAAAAATAACAAATTCCTACTTTAATTTTTTATCAAACATTTGCTTTGAGAATAACACTCTTCAACAATTACTGAGCCGTATAATACTTAAATAATCATTATATTTCCTCCTAGACATACAATTGAGAATTTAGAGCAAGAAGGATCAGAGTTGTTGGAGAAGATCCGTGCAATAGACAGCAAACCAAATCAGATACGTGATCAACGTACTTGCGAAGATCTGGTTAATCTAGCAGAAAATAAGGATTGGTTGCAAGAACAAATCAATGTCGAAAAAGCCAAGCACATTGACTTGGATGCAAAAGTAAGCATTGAGTTTCTTACGCAACTTATAGTTATATTTGATACAGCTACTGGTACTTTTACAAGCCGTTTATCGCTTACTTTCTGAGGGGGGGGGGGGTTTCCATCAGTATTTGGTGTTTATAGTCTGCGATAATACAATAGAAAAATTCATACAGAACCGGGAATGAAATCAAAGGGAGAAAGAGCAGTTTATCTGGTTGTTTTCAACCACATGTAGTCTAAGTGGATTTAATAAGTGAAGTGAGAATAACGTTTCGGAGCAAAGGCCTACTCGTGCCAATGAGTTCGACGAAGGCTTTGAGGAACAAACTAGTCAAGGAAACTTTTCGAAAAATTTGATTCTCTGAAAAAATCTAAGACTGGAATCTAGCGTCCTGAATGTTGGAAGAAGTAAACTTCAATTAGTACTTAAGGAATCAAAATGAATACTTTTTAAGAGGATCAGAACGTACAAACTAAAAAGAGGTTATTTCGCCGAAAAGGCGATGGCTTATTTTCTCCCCAAATTAGTAGTAATTTAGTTCAGAATGAGGTAAACCAATTGTTGTTTAGGTTAAAATTTGTGAAAACCTACGATGTTCAGTGTAACTATAATAAATGACAAATTAACTTAACAATTTACTATACGAACCAGAAATAAGTGTTTGCTTGTGACAAATAATCAGTTCAGTTTAGTTTGAGCAACTATTGAGAATAGACTTCCGGGCTACAGTTTACGTTGCTATCTATTGACTGTCCGTTTGGATGAACGAACAGGAGGATCCTGGGAAAGATGGGTTGTAAGTGCATTTTACCTGTGATGTCCCGGATTAGGTTATTGGTTGGTTTGGTAGATTCTCATAACCGGTGAAATCTAAGAAGGCCACAAAGTCTGTTCAGTCCTTCCTAGCCCATCAGTTTATACATCCTTTACTATATACATGATGAATATGGACATGAAGTAAGGGCATTGTAAAGCGGTATTGTATGTTGTAGCTGAATGATTTCATTCAGAATCGTTTTCATGAAATAATTTTACGCTGCACAAATAAGGAACCATCAAACAGAACTATTTATGAAGTCAGCTCACTGTTATGACAAGAGGTGAGGCGAAAAATCTTTGGTAAACAAACCTATTAAATTTGGTGATGAAACCCGCCCCCCCCCCCCC